CCATCTAACGGATATAATTTGACAGACCTTGCTAAGGCAATATCTTGTCTCAGTCTACAACTTCCTTGTGAGGGGCAGAGGAGGGGCAGGCACTAATCTCTTCTCTGTGGGGACCAGGGGGAATGGCCTGAAGTTGTGTCAGGGGAGGTTTAGGTTGGGTTCTTCCCCCAGAGGGTGGTTGGCACTGACCAGGCTCCCCAGGGCAGTGGGCACAGCACCAAGGCTGCCAGAGCTCCAGGAGTGTTTGGATGATGCTCTCAGGCACAGGGTGTGACCCTTGGGTTTGGCCTGTGCAGGGTCAGGAGTTGGACTCAATGACCCTTGTGGGTCCCTTCCAACTCAGCATCTTCTGTGATTCTGTGGTAGAGAGCAAAAGGTCTATGGAAACTAATCTACCTTCAAGATAAATAATTCAGAAACCTGCTACCCAGTTTTGAAAAGTCACTTAGACATTTTGGAGGTGAATATCACAACACTTCAGTTCCTAGTCAAGCAAATCACTTCTAAAAACTAAGTCTAACTTTTAAATCACTTGGTTATGACTTCTAACAATGGCCTTCAGTCCTCCATCAACAGCAAAATCTATCTTCCTGGGTGTTACTCTGATTTGGATAATGTTTTCTTTTTATGCACGTAACATGACAGAAGTGCAGCACACTGGACAGGGCACTGGAGTGTGGATGAAAACTTGCATCTCTTCTTAATGTTGCTTTTCACCTGCCCACAGCCTTGTAGAAAGTACTTCACTATTGTGTCTTTGCTTCTGTCTACCCTTTGATTCTCCAGGTCACCAGTTATTCCCTACCAAGCTGTTATACAGAGAGATCAACTTCAGTTAAGTTTGTAAGTATTTCTGTAATAAAAAAATATCAAGCAGCAACTATTGAGGAGAGCAAAATCTAAAGCAGAGAACAGATAACCTAAGAATTTGACTCCTGGCCTTTATCTAGATACTAAAAAATGGTCACATTAAAAGGAGAGGAATGAACCTGAAAAATATTTACCAGTAGCCTTTCTCCTCTTTTGTACAATTTGTTAAAATCACTTTAAAATGTCAAAGGCTCAGACAGTGAAGTGCAAAATAATTACATGAATGCAGTCAGCCACTGTATCTTCTTACTCTAATATTAATGGATGGAAATGGAAAACTGCCACTGAATTTTAATTAATTCATTAGTTAATTATTGTAAAGCCCCATGAAAGTGCTAAGAATTATTATTACTTTTATTCCCAAAAAAATATTTTATAATGGCAGAGATGGACCTCCCACAATGACTTTTCTCTAGGTTGAAAATACAAAATTGGTGCAAAATGGCATTTATTAATTCTTTGTGTAATTCAAGCATGGACTTACCACCATGAGATACTGACACATTACCATAAAAGCAGCAGCTTTTCCCTTTGCTAACAGGTCCATTTAAGTGAATAGGGTTAGCTCTACTACTTTCCTAAAAGGAGCAAGGAGGGGAAGTTAGCCAAAATGTGGATGGCATTTGCTGCATACTGAGTCACATTAAGCCCTAACATAAATTAACAGAACTCTCCCAGAAGAATCGTTGAAGCAAAAGTGTCCTTCTGCCAGGCTGCATTTGACCCACCGTCCCTAGTTCTGTTGAATTTAATAAGATAAACATGTCTTTTCACTTCCTGGTTGCAGATAAAGCTGACAAAATATTCTGGAATCAGTCACCAATTTTAAGACTTAATCATTCAGCCAGCCAGACAAGTGGAAAAGAGAAGCTTTTCTCATTAAGTAATGTCTAAGGGAAACTTTAAATCTGTATTCCAATACAACATCCTGATATTTGCTGCTGCAGGCCCAGAGCATGCAACAATGAATTGTGCATTTTAAAAGCTGTCTCAGGGAAAGAGATGTGCATGTTGACAGAAAACAGACCCTTTTTTTGATAGATGTTTACACAGGAACCTTTGGCAGAGAACTGACATTCAGAAATGTTTGCCACAGGATCTCTTTGTTTCTTTTCCATTCTTACCATGCCCTGCTCCAAGCTGCAGTACCAGCATCCACTATTTTAAGTTGGAATGATTTAGACGTTGCTTGCAGTGACTTTTCTAAAGATCAGTTCATCAGCTGAACTGGTTTATTTACATAAACTGTCCTTCTTGCCTAATTTCCCACATTATGCAATAGGACAATATGCTGAGATTGGGATCTGGTGTTGAGGGAGCGTGTGGGGGCTACATAACAGGAACACCTGATGCTATTCATGACACTGGCAGTTTTCAAACTGAGACAGGTTAATGGAGAAGAAACATGCCTGTAACACCTACTGCCTCAGCAGCTTCCACTACAGAAGGAAATTTCCCCCCCTTCTTTGCCAGGATATTTAACTGATCCACATCAAGTGACTGCAAGCCTGTGCATGTTGGGCAGAATCCTGTTACACCCAAAGACTGAACTTTCCTCTCTATCCTTTCAAGCACGGTGCCTAAAAAAGTTGGTCAAACTTTTTAAAGTGTCAAAAACATAAAACTGACAACCAAGGCTGAAACTGAGGACCAATTACGGGAAAGATGCACTTTTTCCAACTCCTTTCCTATTTTTTACTTGCAACTCGTGCAAGAGAAACCTGCACCACCACACTGCTCCCTCATGAGACTGGCACATCCCAAGGGTGTCAGCAGCAGCACAAGCCTGCAGAGATCCCAGCCACAAATGCCACTACCCCAGAGAACATAAGACACAGGGAGGCCACAGTGAACAGAGAAGAGGGTAGGGAGATGTGAAACCAGTAGCAGAAAATAAAACCAGAGGGAAGTTCAAGTGGAGTAGAAGAGTAGAATTTCTTCCTTCAAGATTAAACAAAAAGAGAAGAGAAAAAGCACTGGGAGAGAAGGTCTGGCTTATGAATTAAGAAAAAACCAACTCCCTTCCAAAATAATAGCTGTCTCATTCCAAGGCTGTGAACTTAAAGTATAAAAGCCAGCCTCAAAAGGCTTTATTCCTCACGGCATCTTTTTCTACTCCTTCAAAAAACCAACCAACAAACAACAGCAAAACACACACAAAAACTAACAAACAAATACACAAAAAACCCAACAAACACAAAAAACTAAACTCCACAAAACCAAAAACCCAAGGGATCAGGAAGCTAAACTGTACGTTTGCAGGGCAAACCAGTACTCGCACAGACTTCAAAAATAAAAAAAAATAACAACCCTACAAATGAACTCCAGTGCTTTCCACATCTTCCTTTGTTCACTGTAGTCATGTTCAAGGAGGACTCCCCATTTCAGATAAACTGTATTCATAACCTTCAAAATATTCCCCTTAGCAGGTTACTTTTGAAACTTGAGAAACTGAGCAGACAAGGTGCTCAAGTACAATCTCCTGCTGTTTCTGAAGCAGGTAGATCTGATCACATCTTTGGGGGGGGAAAAAAAGAAAAGAAAAAAAAGTAAAAAAATACTTTCTACTGCTGACATCCTTCAAAGTGAACAACTCAAGACTTTTCCTGGGGGACAGAAATTAACACCAGCCTGCAATGATGGCAATTTCCATTTCAATTTGTATAATAACACGTCACATTTAACTACAGGAACGAGGATCTCTCACTGACACCTTATGATGGCCTTGTACCTGAAAAAGCACTATTTATGTGTGCTTCAATAAGTTTAGTTTGCAAATTAAGAGAGGTAGAGTGATAATGTAATACGGATTCATTAAGATCTTGGGTCTAAATTTAAAACTTAAGTTAAAAATGTAAAACAGATGCACACCAGGACACTTGCAATGGCTATTCAAGTGAGTAGAAACTGCAGGTTCTTGAAATACAGTCACTAAATATAAAAATTATTACCAGAGACAAACATGAGTAAACACAAATCAAATAATCTACGAAGAATAAAACATTAACCTTGGTGTGGTATTCCTATGATCACTGGTATTAGTGCCAGGAATGACAAATGGGAGGGAAACAGCAACCAATTAATAAGGTACATGCCCTTCCCCTAAATTATTTCTTTCCAGATGAACTCAGGTCTTCATTTTAGATAATCAAAACAAGGAAATTACCTATTTGTTTTAAGACCAAGACTTTAAAGCAATAACATGTAAAACTCATGTGACTAGTTAGAAAGGAAATATTTTTTTGTAATAAATAATCAAATTTAATTTGCTTCTGTTACAACTATTATTCAAGATTTATACTAGTTTCTGGAAGCCTCAAATACTATAAATTCAAGAAAAAATTGTGTACTATTAATAACAACTACAATACAATACTACAATTAACAACAACTATAATAAAATATTACAGTATATATACACCATAAATAACACAAGTAGAACCACGTTTATGCCTATTTCTCATCATGATAAAAGGCATCAGAAAGAAAAGTAACAAAACCACTGTCACAGTCAAGAACCTAAATCTAATGTCTGGGGGAAGAAAGAAGGAATTAGGTGTGAAACACAGGCTACATGTTTTCTGAAATCCTTTCTACAGGATATCTGTTCCTAAGGAGTAGTGCATGTTTCTCAGGAGTACACTTGATCTTGCCAATTATTCCCCAGTTGTTATTGATCCTAAACACCTTTCTGGGAATCGATTGTCTAGAGAAATCAAACCAGCTGATTGTCCCAAAGCACAAAAGGAGCAGTCCCTTCTCTCCCATTCTTAATTTGCTTATTATATCCACTTTATGAAAAAAAAAAGAAAAAAATCAAAACACTGATTCCTTTTCATAGCATCTTTCTTGGTCATTCTGTGCACTTCAGGGCATATTCTACACGTGCTATGCCTTCAGCTGAAGCAGGCACCTTGTTTTATTCCCACCTTCTGAAAAAAAGTCTTGGGATTTTTGTTGTTTGTTTGTAAGTAAACATTTCCACCAGTAAAAGTACGAGGAAGCTAAACTAACACACAAGACTGAAGGGCTGGCATGACAAGAATAAATGCAGTCCAGGATGAGAAAAACCAAAAATATTACACGTACGAGCCTCTGTACTGGCCAGGTGGAGCCAGCCTGGAGCTTACCTGTCCTGTAGCCCGTGTTGTTGAGGTACACTGCAAAGGTCCTTATTTCATGCTGAGCCTGCCAGGAGGGAGAGGAGCAGTTCTCGTTGTTGGTGTAGGTGTTGTGGTTGTGGACGTACTTGCCCGTCAGGACGGAGGAGCGCGACGGGCAGCACATGGGCGTCGTCACGAAGGCGTTGATGAAATGAGCACCCCCCTGCTCCATGATCCGTCTGGTTTTATTCATCACCTGCATAGAACCTGGAAGAAGAAAAACATTTGGGAATTGTTTTCTTGTTTCGGTCACAAAGAGCCCCATAAGAGCTCCCGTCACGTCAGAGACCAGAATGAAGTGCGAGCACAGAAAGGGCACTGTGATCTCGGAGTGAATCCAGATGCAAAGAGATTGTTCTCCTGCCTCAGTGAAGTTCTCCCATTGTTTCAGTAAGGACTAAATACTGAAGTCCTAAGTTAAGATATGACTCAAGTCTGCTGGCATGGACCATGATGCTTCTTTCATTTCTCTCTCTCTCTAAATTCAAGATTTACTGCTGTAACTTTCTGCACCTTTTCTGCAGCCCTTCTGGAGCCACCAGGACTGTTCCAGTAGCTGAGGGTGAAATGCACTTTGTACAGCAACCCTGACCACAGCCTGCATGCTCCTTAAGTGTCATTTAATCTTTGGTTTTAAAATAAACCTGATGCACTGCCTTTTGTGACAACCTTCTGCAAAAGCCTGAGGGCTGTAACCACAGAATCACTGAGGTTGGAAGACTATTTAGTCCAACCTACTGCTCAAGCAGGGTGTGCTAGAGTTGTTCTCTAAATAAATTGTTCTCTCCCTGTTGCGAGGTATTAGGAGATATTGATTTCTGTACTTGTCACTGAACCAAAGACAACATAAAGCCCTCAGAATAATTTCCATAACCAGCCCACTATGTTCTCTCCATGTGCTTCACCCCTTCTGATAACAGTATTACCTAAAACTATCTACATTTTCTTAGGCTTGGTTCTACAGAATCAGATCTTCAGATGACTGCTTGGGACAGATAGCCACGTATTTCACAACCATCATCTAAAAACAAACAAGCAAGTTTAGCTGGCAGGGACTTGGATAAATTGGGATAACAGGAGTAAAAGTCTTTTTGCCAACAATTACTGAAAGACATGCTGCTGCCAAATGGCTGTTCTGTTTATTTAAGACAAGGCTTTGGTCGAAGACTGCATCGTTACATCACCTAGCTAAATCTGGATCCATATCAGAGCTCCTCCTAAACCCAGAAAAACCAAGGCTCAGAGAAAAAAAGAAATTTAATTTTAACTATCCGTGCCTGATAGTTAAAACTGCATCAGAGCGAGACATGAAAAATTTTCCTGATCTAGGAAGAATTTCCATTTTCCTAAGAATTTGTCATCAGCACAACCTTGCAAAGGAGAGGAAATCTGTCCATCACCAACCCTCCTTTCCTGCTCTGAGCAGGGAAAGCCAACAGCCAACATGGAGATGAAGGTGTGGTTTCATGCCAGAGTAGGGTTGGGGGGAACTTACCCAAGCTTGACTTGGATTAACAGTTCAGCTTTAATCAATGCATCCTGCAACCATCTGGCACAAACTATGTTGTTTCTGTCAATACTGGGTTTAGGTTTCTTCTAAGCTCTTTAGGCAGGGATTTCATTATGAAATGGCAACAGTAAGTCGATTGATACAGGGTACATTGATACAACCAGGAGTCAAAACCTAGAGGGAAAATGGTCATAAGCCACATAGGAAATCTGACTCTCTGGCACCATGAAGGAAGGCTAATTGCTACTGTATGTCATTTTACCTAAAAACTGCCATGGTATTAGTTTACTTGAGACCATTCTGTTGGAATGAGTTTAAAAGAAAAAAAGAAAAATCAAAAATCTGTTTGTGCATTTCTCAGGTCAGAGCACATCCCTGTCACATCACTTTGTGACAAGAACCAAGGCAGGTTATTGCACCACTCCCTTAGAACTTGCTAAACTTCACATACCAAAAAGGAGTTTCTGAAGGAAGCCAGATTTATTTATTTTTTTGTTTCCCTAGTTGTGGGATAAGTGTTAGTGCTTAAAGGCACTAACAACACAGTTAACAATTATAACAGCCAATCATACACTCTGTGAGCCTGAAAACTGTGGATGTTTCCTCTGTGTTGTCTTATGAGATACAGCCCAAGCATAAACAGGAGTCCGAAAGAATGTTTTGTCTTGCCAATACTGAAATATAATTTAACAACCCCTTTAAAAGACAGAGGCATCTGTGCATAAATAACAGTACATGTTAAGACTCCCCTTGGGGACAGTAACCTCCTTTAATAAAACTGCTGTAATGACAAAGCCCTATATATCAACAGTCTTTAGCACAAAAACATATGATCTAATCTGCTTCCCCAGCCTGAGAACTAATACAGAGTGACAGATCAGTGGAAGGTAAAAATCCAGCATACTCTTCTGTATAATCTTAAATAGGCCAGCTTTAAATATTTTAAACAGCATTAAACCAGCCAACCAAAACTTATTTTCTTCCGCTTGCCTCCGATACAAACATAAAATTGTGAGAAAAATTAGAAACTGTTCTTTCTGCAGCAGATTAGTTACGTGTTAATGAGCAACAGGAACCTCACCACATCACCTTTTGAGCTGGAAAGCCTTCTCAGGTTTCATTAGTGGATGTACCATGGGAAGTAGCAGTTCGAAGTGTCAATATTTAATTCAGAAAATGTTCTGTTACCCATCTAAACCCACTGATAGTAAACAAAAAATTTAGCAGTTAAAAGTGAAATTTCTAAGCTATTAAAAAAAAATAAATCCATTAGACTACTGTGAAAATATGAAAGTTTAATCAATTTGATGCATTAAAGCTGCTCACTGAACAAAGCTAAGCAAAACCTATGTTAAAATTCCACTTGAAATTTGTGTGCTATCCATAACTTTGCTTAGTGTATCTTCACAGTTCACTTCAGGGATAAAGCTGATATATTGACTAATATTAACCAATTATATATAATTGAGAAAATACACCAATTATTTATGAAATAATACTGAAGTCCTTATTAGTTGTGTTTTGTTATCAGAGGAAATAATTTACATGTTTCAGAAAGCTCCAACTGTTGAAGAACTTGTATTAAGTACCAAGTGACTTGTCTACTCTGAAGCACAACTTATGAAGTGGTATCCACACACAGATAAGCTAACTGAACCCCAGAATGTTAATTAACTGTCCCCTAAAGCCTTCTCTTTTTATCCTATTTGAACCTCATCAGACACAGCTGTCACATCATTTCCTTTTTTCCTCATATTTAACAAAGCTCTGAAGTCCCAATTGCCACGTATGATAACCAAGAAAAATTATCTTCCAAGTCACTTTTATAGTTTACAGAGGAAGACCTAGGAACATACAAATCACCTCTCACTCACATTTCTCTGCTGTGGTTGAAATACCTTCTAAATAACCAGATCTTTCTTCAACTACGAGATCATGAAATAAGATTTTTTTTAAACCCGATATGGTAGATAAACCTAATTAAACTGGAGTTGCTGAGTCCATCACACAGGGGACATCAGCATCATCCTAACTTGGATTTAAAGGGCTCTAATAGCAAAAAAGGAAGTCTTTATTTCTAATTAATTCTTCCTCCTTGTCACTATATTCCTCTTCTTTATATTATGCTTGTCAGTACAACTCTTTTGATTGGACAGTCTAGAAGGTGTATATGTTTCAGTGGTTCTTGGTGTTCTCACTTGTCTTCTCCCAATTGTATCCATCACAATAGATTCTGCATCCTATTCATCAGCCCCTCATCAGTCTTCTCCTTTTTCCAATACAATGCTGAGGTTTGGCTTCCCAAGTAAAACTCATGGTTAACAGTAATGGGAACGTAAAGAGTTGTACTCCTTTCCTGAAAGGACAACATTCTCTTTCTGGTAAACTCCACCTGCTGCTGGTACATTGTTAAATCTATCTGTAAATAAATAAAGGAAAGCCTGTCAAAGGCACTTGAGATCATGTTGTAATCCCTTTCACCTCAAAAGTAGCTACAAAAGAACAATGGAAGCTACAACACCCATCAGTTACAGAATATCCTTATAAACAGATGAAATCTTAGTTATTCACGGCTTTCCCTGCTATGTTTTCATAGCTTCCAACTTTTCCTTAGCTTTTATTTGTAATTCATATCTTGTTTTCATCTTTCATAAATGCACTAACCACAATCACCACAAATGGCAATTTTGATTAACTTGGACAGCTCACCAGACAACAGACAAGAATAAAAATTAATTCCAACAAATATTGGGTCTCCCAAAGCCATTAGTGTCAAACGAGGAATATCACATCTTAGCTTCATCAAATGGATTTTCCTTGGCGAGATCCTAATTTGTGTGGACACATGCCCATTATCCTTGAAACTGGAAAGCATCCGATCATAAGAGAAGAGAAATATCCTGCCCAGTGGACTCAGTCAATTGCATCACAAACACACAGGTCAGCAGAAAACAGAAGATGATAAATTTTTTAGGACCACCTTCTGAGCCTGCAAGATAATGTACTCAGGTTCTTTGATACGTTATTGGAATTGCTTCATTTGTGATCCAAATAACCATTAAACAAACACTGACAACAACAAAAACCTCTTCTGATCCTACTAACTGGAATTGCATTTATATTTGGTGAGGCTTTCTCACCACCTTGGACAAGAATGTGACACCTATGATACTGCAGACATGCAGTAATATAGGTGCAAAGGAAGCATCTATAAAAACACTGCCATGTTGCTGTGATCAACTTATCAACAAGATAAGTAAGTGTACGAGTAATACAAGTTTATTAATTTTATGTTCTGTTTCCTCTGTGAGGTCCGTTTTCCAATTTTTCCTACCCATACTAGAAATCTAATGCAGTAAAATTTGGTGTCAAAAAACAAACCAGACCACACACACGAGTTCTCATTTTTCAGATGATCCAGGCTTTGTACACACTTAAAGGCATAATTCTACTGCAAAATCATTAACATAAACTGGTTTGTGTTAATCACTTCTCATAACTACAGACAACATTTGGTAAGTACAAGCTTGTTCAGGTAACAGAACAAAACCCAAACTCTGTCAGTTAATTCATTATTCCAAATCATTAGGCAAAGCATGTGTTTAATCTTCATCTCCTTTCTTCAACAATTAATATAGTGTTGAATAACACAGTAGAACCTTTTCATTCTTTGACACTTTGGTCAGTAATTAACTACACATCTAAATGGACAACAAAAAGAATAGTATGACTGTGTTACGTGGCATTTAAGTAAATAAAGATTGTATATGTAATGAATGTCTGCAATTACACAAAATACCCTGGGTCATTACATGATATAATAATCACTTATGAATTTAAACCTACTGCCTTGGCATGCAGCTTCCCAGACTATACTTGCCATTGCCAGCAGCAGAGTTTAGGTGTTTAGATGAAGCCAGATAGGCAGAAACCTCGTATTTCCAAAAAACATGAAGTTTAGCATTTCGAGACTGACTTTTGCTGTCCTTGAATCCCATCCAGACAAAAAGCACGTTCTACATAAAGGCACGTTTAAACTTGTGCTTCCTATCATTTTTCAAACTGGAAAAAAAAAATAAAAATTCTCATTTTGACCACGAGAATCCAGCTCCAAGGAAAAGCAGTGCCACACCTGTTAGCTGAAATTTTCTTAACGCTGGGCTCTTACCAAGTTCTACATCCTGATCATCAGTAAGAACAAGGATGATGTTTGGGCGGATGTTTCTACGGTCTCTTTGAAATCTTCCCTTCAGACGCTGATTTAACAGGAAAGCTGAACTTCCATCCAACAGTGATAAAACAGTCATCATGAATAATCCAAGGACAACACTATGCTGGGCCATGTTGTGCTGAGTTAATGTTCTCTCTGAACAAGGTAGGTTAATGGCTTCTATTTCTTTTTCGTTTGCAGGTCTCCTATAAGGGAGAGGGAAACAAATTTTTATCTATACTTTGACCCCTCTGCTCCCCCCAAAGGAACAGCAAGGTTCTCTCCAAAGAAGTAAAAAGCAGTATACTTGAAATAATCTAACTCCAAAGGAAAAAAAAACAAAACCAAACCCACAAACAACAACAAAGCAAACAAATGTTTTCTAGTGCCAGCTAGAAGCAGAAATTTGGAAAAAAAATCAGTTCATAAGCTGTTACCAGTGCAGGCAACAAAGTTTCACTCTAAGCTCAGATCTGGCAGCAAGTTTTTGCAGGGTATCAAACTCTTTTGCTTTGATACATATAAAGAGCAACCTTCTTCCTTAAGGGATGGTTTCAAATTACATTTTTGTTTACTGCATCAAAAGTTGAAGAGAAAAAAACTGTATCAATATTTTTAAAAAGGACTGTAGTAAAATTTACTGAGTTAACAACACACTTGCAAAATCAGAGAATCCTCAGATAGAAAACTTGTTATACACTGATTTATCTTACACATTTCATTAGGGAGCAGAGCTGCCCAGATCTTGGAACTATGGTGTGATGCTGTTTGAAGTCTACTACAGCTTTGATGTTACTGCAATATCCCTTCAGCATTTCTGTTGGTTTCCAAGATTATATATATTTTTTAATACCATTATTATTAATGAACAGATTTGAAAGCCCATTACTGTTTGGGAATGGATGCACCAAAGTGATTTGCATTGCCTGTGACTTCTCTTCGTGATAAATACAACGCCCCAAAATTGACTTCATTGCAAAGCAGAGCACATCTAACTGGTACTGCTCCTGTTAACAAGTCAATAAAAAATTCTGAGCAATTCCTACAAGGAGATTACAAGAAATGAATAAGCATGCTGAAGAATTCTTGAAATCACAGTTTTGCTTAGTGATCTCCTGGTATAAAGGGATTTTCTCTTGCTTTCAGAAGTCAAAATAACAATATGAAAACGTACTGAAAACATCAAGTACTAATTATTTCATCACATCCAGCAATTAAGGATTCAGTTTTTGATGAATTCCCTACTTGCTCCTTGGCTTTTCCTGGATTGGTGCCAATGATCTCTCGTAAGAGAAGTGAAAAATCAATTAAAATTGACACAAGAAAGATAATTTGCTTTTTGTAAAGACCAGAAATGCCTGAGTAGAAAGAACCCAGCACAATGTGTTTTTACCCAAAGAAAAATGTTGGTTCTTCTGTCCCTAGAGCCACGTGAGAAAACAGTTTTTACTCCAGCAGATTATTTCATAGCCACATTATTACTTCATCTCCATCAGCGACTGTTCTTTGAGATAAACTTTGATTAAGAAAGTTCTCATGCAACAGCAAAACCACTGTTCTGAAAAAGTTTCTATGCTTATATAAGAAATGCATATTCAATTTTCACAGAAGTCAACAGATATGTAGCTATAGTGTGATGGAATATTTATTAAGGCTGCTTTCCAAAACTGTACACTAGTGGGTTTTTTGAGGAAATGAAAAATCCTCCTTCCTTACTAGTCTGCCCAGTGAGTTTCACAGGGAGGTGAAATTAACTTTTTTCATAGAAACTAAAAATTGATTTTGAATATCCCAGCTCTTGTTCCAACGGGTAGGGAAAGAACTTTCCAAGTTTACAGCTACAGTTTTAGTATTTCTGCTGCTGCCCAGAGGTTTGCCAGGCTATTGCAGCAGAAACACTGACAAGTCCAATCAATTTTCACTCCTGGCACTCAGAATTCCATCTGCAGCAGTACAACTGGGAAGAATCATGTCAATGTGTTGCTACTGTCCAGAGTAGTCAAAAGCAGCTTGAGAGAGAAACTTGGACCTATTTCAAAAGGGGAGGACAGAAAGCAAGCTTGTTTAGCAGGCACATATGCCTGGACACCAGTTTTTTGGGGGAGAAGGTAGAGAAATGGTTCCTGCTTTTCAGAAATTACTACATATACACTTTTGTTAAAAAAAAATAAACTGACAATAGAGATGTTTTCATTACACACATTTTTCTGAAGGTCTAAAAGTTAAGGTGGGGCTTTATCTGTCTATTACTAGCCAATAGCTTCTCAAAATAATAGCATTTGCTGACTTTTCTTGCAGCATTTGGAAGGCTGCCCGTTTTTGTCATACCTGCTCAGAACCACCTGCACTACAGTGTTGTGCATTTAACCATCTTCTTGCATTTTTCTCACTTCTTTTAACCCAATGCATGAAGTAACCTCATGACCTCATTGTCTCTTTTCCCTCAGCTTATCTTTTCCTCACATTTTATTGCCCCTCACTCACTCACTCACTCCATTGTAACTAAAAATAGAAGCTGTTCCATCTCAGAGAGCTGCTTGGCTCTCTATAAAATACTTAACACATAAGTACATATGTGGATGTACATAAACTGCTATTCCACGGCTATTTTAACCACACTTGTATATTTATGGTTAATTAGTTATCTCTGAAAGGTTACTGCAGGTGGAAGAGAGAATTTCATGTCAAGCACAACAGGCATCTTCCCCCAAACCCGTTATCTTTTTCTTGCCCTCTCCCTCCCACCACCTTGATGAATATTTTTCAGCTATTCTGATGTGTTATGTTCCTATTATTATCAGGGTAAGTACTGCTGGGAACCAACTCAAAGTATGTAATTATGTGCAAAACTCACACCAATAACTAGGTAAGAAAATTAAAGCAATTTTAGAAAATAACCTATTTCTTAAAGTATGTTTTCATAAAAGACAGACGTCACAACTAACAGCATATATGCAGTACAATCTAAAAGGCAGCTTTTAGACAGCTCTCAGAATAGCAACAGAAGAGTCTCTCTCATGGATTGCCAGTGGTCAAATACAGATTGGTTTTTTTAACCCCTGGTCTTTGGTGAACTTCAGGGAAGAAATATGACAAAGTTTCTATTAACAGTTTTTTTCCCATTTCTGTCAACAAGTTTAATCTGTTACTCACAGATAAAGCCAGAAGAGTTCCACAGCAGTGCCCCAATCTGCCTTCACTTTTAATAGAGCACCTCTCCAACGATGCATTTTGATTTGAGTGGTACAGATGGTCCACTGCTTTCTGTGCCTCTGCAGGCCATCCTCCAATATTAAAGATGCTTAATCTGTAGTGCCTCTCATGAGAATTAGCTATGCCTCTTATTTTTTCCTAGATTACACATATGAACTTGACAAGTCTGGTCACTCCTGGTTTATATTTAGGAAAGTGCTATCAGAAATTTATGAAATGTTCTTTAGCTGTGGCATCTAGCTTTATTAAGCCTACGAAACCTCCTAGCAGGCTGCTTTAGAGAAAGTCTGGTCCTCTTATCAATTCTAATGTGACATTAAGTCACATTATAAATGTTGAAGAGATAAAGCCAGACTTCAGTACATTTACTCTATTTATGAAAGAACTGAGCTGAGGGCTGTTCCCAAGTAGCATTTACACCAAGGAAAGGCTTATTTATAACACTGCCCTCAGTAACTAATGTCAGTTCTACAGCAGCACAGGCAGAATGCACAGGGATGACTGATGTCAGCTCTACCCCAGATGGTATTTTTAACAGGCTATTGATTAGTATTGCTTGGCACAGATGTAACAGGCACTGTGGGTGCAAAATTAGTAACTGACGGTGGCTTGCACAGATTGGTGCTCCCAACTTCACCAATGCAAGTCCCAGCACAACTGTCCCATGCATAAGCCCAGTGCAACTTCACTGAAATCAGGTAATTCAGTTACTACAACATAATAGGAAGAGTCAGATGCTGCTGTGAGTTAACAGAAAAGGTACAAACACATAACTAATTAATTCTGTAACTTAAATTAATCCTGCTCCTAGTCTACTTCTAGGAAGCTGCTTCTAGTTACATTTACATTAACCGGTTTTGGGTTTTTTTAAATAAGCATACTGCAAACCATTACACACACAATTGGCATGACAAGTTCAACTCGCCCAGCAGCCACCACAGAGCAGGGTAAGTGCCTGTGAGCCACACACTGGAAGGGCACAGTAGGGGCCAAGTGGCCACGAGAAGCAGCACAGACCTGCTCTCAGTGTGGCTGGAGCCAATGCCAGGTGTATTATTTAAGCAGACCTAGGTGTGTCATTTGTCCAAGGTTTAAATTCATTGGAATACATGGTGCTGGAGCCATTCCCTAGCAACCAACCCAATTAAAACCACTCTGCCAGTTAAATGGATTCAGCTGTGCTGCTGTCCTTTTAACTCCTCGGTCACTCCTATGCATCCAGCTCTGGTTATGATGCTCATTCCTCTTGCACTGAAGCTGTCAACCATCGTTTCAAATCATCATACTGTGTTTGTAAGAGATAAAACACATTTTTATATGTGGATTGGGAAGAACCTTGTTTGCAATCAAACAAGGTTCTCAGGGGAAGAGGTATCAACACTATCTCAGTCGTATCAACACTACTGCTGTAATCTAACAACACGCTGTTTGCTTATAGTTTTCTACTTTCTGAATTTTTTTCCCCCAGGTAGTCAAAAATTTAAGAGAAAGTACAAAAATCAAATTCCCAGTGCTAAATGTGACTCTCAAAAATTGCAGTTGTGCCGATTTACCTACAAAAACCATGGATAAAGCTTTTTTATTGGCAAGTATATACAATTTTTTTACAAGTCAGGAACAGAGCTTCCAGACTCATTGGTGCACTGAATTACTATTCAGATACATTCTTCTGTCTTGCTTGCCTTATGCTGGTGAACTCTATACCAAAACTAAATATTTATCACAGAGAAGCTTACTCACATTACAAAATCTCATTCCTATTCTGTAACTTTATTTTAAATAAAACAGAATTATAAATTAGTTATAATTTTCCCTAGGACTTGATATTTTAAAAAGTGTTTGAAGCAGCTCAATATACTTTCCATGAATCCATACTATTCTTTCTGTTCACTGCTTGCATGTTACTATTAGAGCTTTCCAGTGACACACACAGAATTAATTAGTCCTTTGCTAGGTTAAATTGCTATTTGGATCCCTCAAATCCACAATAATA